ATGGGTTATATATCAAATTTTGACAGCTTAAGAGAAGGGAAATGTTAAAAACACTCTTATCTAGCACAGGTCAACACTGTAAATAAAAAGTATAACTAAATGGATGAATATTTTATTATTTCAAAGGTAAAAGTCTATATCCAAAAAATGTAATTTATTAAGAAAAAGTCATGGGGAAAAGCTTTAAGAATGCTGGTTGTTCTTACAGTCTCATATCCTTGGGGCTTACTTTGGGGTTTCCCATGCAAATTTAAGCATTTCCCATATGAGAAACCACCCCGAAATCCATAACCCCTTGCCACCCCCCCCTTTGAATAGATTTTCAATTTTTTTTTGCCAGGCACTTCCGCCCGTGCAGCTGCCCTCTGACGCTTTATAATTCACTAACTTGGCAATTTTCTTCAGTTGGCCAGTCAAGTCCAGGCCATAATGCCTTTTCGGTTGGTCAGAAATTGAACTCATTTGCATATAAGCGTGTAATATATTGTTGACCCGGCTTGCGGCTGCCTCGGGGGTCGCAAGGGGCTGCGGGGCTGTCGCCTAATGGCCCTGGCAGCCAATCAAACCATGACATTTGCAAAAAAAAAAAAAATATAGAGAGAGAAAAAAAAAGAACAAGAAAAATGGAGAAAATAGAAAAATAAAAAAAAAAGTGAAAAGCGAAACGAGCAAGAAACTAGCTTAAAACGAAGGAAACCTCCACCCGCCGCCACAGTTTGCCATTCACTTTTTTTTCCCGGGACTTTACGAAAATCGAGTGGAAATGCCACCCCTCCGTTGGCTATCTTCCCGCCGTCCTTCACCCACTTTCCTTGGCTCACCACCCCCTCACAGCACCAACGTTCAGTGCGTTCTTTTTTACACGGACTGCCATTTGAATGTCAAATGAGTTTTGTGCCAAGTTAAGCAATTTTACATTTTCAATTGGCTCCTTTTCATAATTTCCGTGGCATTTTTTATATATATTTTTTTCCTGAACTTACAGAACTGCAAAAATAAATTACAGTTTGAAATCACTTGAGACGGTGTGTCTGAGGGAGGGGGGTTGTGTATGTGTGTGTTAACCTCTTGGTGTTTGAGTTAATGAGCCATTGCCTTATTAGGCATACACTTGGGCTTATTTCTGGGTGGGTTTTTCAGGTGATTTCAAATGATTTTAGACTTGATAAGAAAAGCATATCCTAGGAAATACATTTTGATAATATTTTTCTATAAGTTAACAGATATTTTGACGAATTTTGGAAAGAAAGAATATAGAATAAAATGCTTTCTTGCAAAGGAAAAACTTTAGCTTAGGATATGAGACTCTGCTCTGTAATTATTTTGTATAAATTAAAAGTTTACCAAGGCTTAGACACCGAAATCAAAGCTCCTTGGATATTGACAGGCGTCAGTGGGAACATTCACAACAGCCCGAGAGCGGTGGCAACATCGAAAACAGTTGCACCAGCAACATCTAACTCAGTGCCAGCAGCAACATGCAACCACAAGTGTTGCATCTGAGGGGAGCAAAGTGGGGGAGATGCTATTGCCGTTGCTATTGCTATTGCTGTCCGGTCGGCCTGTGTTCGCCCTTGGGGGCGTGTCAGCTACAGGACACTGTTGCCAGGAGATGTAGGCATGTGGGCGAGCCTTGACCACAGGCCACTGACCTCCCCCCCCCGGGAGGGCCACGCCCACAACGCATGCGCAACATGCTAATTTTGCAGCCCACAAGTAGCCATCAAACGCAGCTGCAGGACTCACTACTAGGAGGTGGAGGCCAACATACTGGGAGCCCTCGTTGCGCCTGCCTGATTTTCAATTTCAATTTTGGACGATAAATGCATCCTGGCCGGCTGCAACTCCTTGGAGGATGAAAAACGCAATGCCCGGCTCGTTTATCATGGCTGCATATTGCTGACCACAGAATGCAGCGATATTTATGCTGGGACCAACCGCCCGCTGTCCACCCACCGCCGTTATCCTGGCCCAAGGATATCTTCCGAGGCAATGAAGATATGGTTGAGATATCTTGACATTCCCAAGAGAATTTCGACAGGTTTTTCCCTTGCTAAAAATATATTTCTCAGAGAGACTAAAGTGCTGGCTGGTTAATTTTTCTCATATTTAATATTTAAACTTCAAATAATTCAAAGAGAGACACAAGTCCTGCTGGCCCTAAGTGAACATTTTGTTTGGAATATATATTTCATATAGTATTTATGGCTCGGAGTACAAGGAACTCGTTAAATGTTAGCCGAGAGAAAATATTAGTTCAGCTCCCCAAGCTAGGAAATTTAATCCACTCCGAACAGAGCATTTCTTTTCCGTAGGATGCTTGAACATTTAATGGCGACTGCTCAGCGGGCGATTCGTTTTCAGATACTTTAGGGTATTACGGCTTCTTTACGGCCCTCGCTCGCTCCTCGGCCCCTGCCAAAGCCCGGTGGTAGGTATGACCGGCATGTCATGTCGCCGTTGTCATTTTTGTCAGTGTTATCACAGCAGCTGAAGCTTTGCTTGATACACAGCCCCGCGGGTGTCCTGCGTCCTGCGCCCTCCTGCCCCGATGCTCTTCCTGCCGGTTGCCAGTCCCCATTCGCTGTTAGCCATTCGCCCATCGTCGTCACCGTCGTTCTGCTTGTCATTAGAATTATGTCATTGTTCAGCCAAGTGCGCCGGTGACGACGACGACGACAGCCACATCAGCAGTGGCCGCAGCAGCAATAGCAGCCACATCGCAGCAACATCAGCGCTGCAGCAGCAACTTTGGTTGCAGTTTTACAGCGAATACACTTGGAGAAACATGCCAAACTTACCTGAATTCAAAGAACAGAAGGCTTATACTTAAAACTTTGCATTAATATATTATTTATTTAGTATTCAGGAGTTGCCAAAGCTTCCTAACTCATACTCCCGTTTTCTCTGAGTGTTGGCTGGGCCTGCACTCTCGCCGCGAATGTGTATGTGTCGCTTTGCGTTGGCATTTTACGCGCTCACATCTAAACTGACATTCCAATTATTCTTATTGCATCAGGACATCAGAGGAACATTGCCCAGATCCCCGTGCCGTGGGCCACTAGCTCGAAGCCAGCACGGTTATAAATGGCACAGCGTCTTTTCAATTCGACTAAGTCACTCATTCAGCGGGCCAGCAAGTCATTCAGTCGCCGAGTCACTCAGTCAGCCAGTAAACCATTCAGTCAGTCAGTCAGTCAGTCATTCAGTCGGTGACATTTCGCGGTTATTTTTCATATTTTCCCCCTCCATATGTACACAGAGTCCCTTAACTATTTAGCACGAGAGGAAATGCTCTGAGATGGCCCCGCCGATAGGGTTAAATTGGGGTCAGGACTTCCTGATTTATGTCCTGCGTTGAGTCCAGTTGAACTGAAGAACTTTTGACAGCTGCCCACATAGCGCGTAATTTATAAGGACCTAATCCCAAAACTGTTTGCTGAAGATCCCAAAAGGCATTGGGGTCAGCAGGTAATGGGATCTAAAAGGGAAATGCTGATGGAAAATATTGTGCAAGTTGAAGAGTAATAAATGTAATGTCCTGAGAAAGGGATCCTTTAAAGAAAAGTTCAATATGACTAATACCTATCCATTAGGGGTCTCCTTAACAACCTTTTAAATACCTTTTCCATTTTAGTTACAACAAGAAGTAGCTGATGAAGCAATTCCAATTAAAGGCCTTCAGGCCATTATTAACCTTTCTTAACCAGGACTCTACTCCCCCTGTTAGCCTGGCAATAACCCAGTTAGTAACGGAGGAAAAGAAACTTTAATTGGTATTCAATCGCCCAACAGTATGGTATTGGTATTTGTGGAAGTTCGTTTCAAAATTATTGATTACTTTACATTTAGGGCTTGTCATTAAACTCCAGCATTTGCCTGCCTCACAATCAGTTCCTCCTTTGATCTTCCCTTTTCCCCCCAAGTGAGAGTAGGAATCGCCCCCCTCGGAAAGGACAAATCACAAGCTGCGGCACGGAACCGAAGCTCAAAGCTCTGGCTGACTTTAATCAGACCAACAATTTTTTTCCCTTTGTTGACATTTTATTGATTGCCATCAGTTGGCTTGAACATTAATTTCATTAAAGCGCAGGAGCGAGGTGACCTCCAAAAGCCATTAAGTGTCGCCTTGCCTGCCAGTAAGAAATGGGAGGCGACGCTGGCCAAATGGAACGAGGGAAAACGAATTTATTAAGCAATCAAAGGTGCCGTGTTCTGTCGGAGCTCATTTAAATTGGAGGAGCAAAAGCCGGCGAGTTAGAGCTACCTGCAGCTCCATCAGTGGTCCTCCGAGTACAATCCAACTACTCATATTTTAACGAGCATTGTGTTGTGGCAGTATCTCGCAGATACTCGCACTCACGTTCACGTTCACGTTCACGAAGCGAAGAGACCCCGGGCTGCGACTGTATGCTTTTCTGCTCAATTTGCAATTTTCAATGCGCTGAAATGTTGCCTTTACGATGCCAGGTAGTTGGAGGGTGCGCCAGGGTATGCTGGACTAGCCTGAATCTCGCTATAAATCAAGGTATGTCTTAGTCGAATATTCCGCTTCCTTTTAACAGGATATTCCCTAGTCCAGACTCACCACCTCTTCCCCTTGTGTTTTATTTCTATTTCGGATCCAATATTTTCGTTTCTGCCCGATTTTATGCAACGTCTCCTCCGACGGCCACGCCCACAATAATCAAAGCACGCTTACGGCTTGTTATTTTAAATTTCAGTTTATAAAATAGACGGCGGAGTAGATGATTTAAAACAATTTCAGCCCGGGGAGCTGCTGATGAAGCTGCAGTCCCGTGCCCGAGACCGGGCCAGCGAAATTGTTTTTACGTGCCGCGCATGCAAAAGATGAGATTCCGATTCCGTTTCCCATTCCCATTCTCATTTCCAGGAATGGCATCTGCTGTGCGATTCCCAGAGAACCCGGGGAATGGCTAGAAGAATGGGCAAGGGTTCGCGGCTTGACCTCCCAGGGGCCAACACCCCGCTGAACTCACCTGTAAGGAGACAGAGCACTCCCAGGAGGGTAAGCCAGTGTGACGACATCCTAGAGTGGCTTTCTGTGGGTGTTTAGGTTGGGATGAACGGCGGCAAAGTCTATTTGCCAGGAACTTCTTTCGGTTTAGAGCTAAAATGAAAAGAAGTAAATTAATGTTAGCAACATATTTATTTTATAATATTAAAACATGGCATCAGATCTCAGCAGCCAAGTGCAATTAAAAGCAAATCCTGCCGCTGACCCACAAACACAGCCCCCCAAAAAGTTTATAACCATTCGACGCAAGTGGCGGAAAATGGGGAAAAACACAGAGCCGGAAAACAAACTGACAAGCGAACGAGCAAGCAAACAAACAAGCCCGGGAAACCGCAGACAATAGTGTTGCCCGGGACTGCATAACCGGAGCGCAACATAAAAATCCACTAAGGCAAATTTGGTTTGTTAACCAGCACAATGGACGCATTAACAGGACGGGCACACGGGCCCACAGATATCCTCCTGCCGGCTGCCGCGGGCTGCTCGCAACAGGATGTGTCGACAGACGGCGGCAACAATTAAAAATTTTTGCCATTTTGTCGCAGCGCCATAGAGATATGATCCAGTGCAAAGCCTCGCGATGAGGGCCAAGAACTTTAAGGAGTTTATTTTCATAATTTTCTCATAACATAAAGGCATCATTTTCTGGGCTTAAATATATCCCTTTTTGGCTTTAAAAGTGGCGGATTACTCAATCCTGTTGAGGCTGTCGTGGATTTTTCAAGAGAAAGACCAACACAAACCCCTTTCAAATTAAGTTACATCCCCAATTAGTCTTAAAAATGCAGTTGGATTACATTGATTCTCAGTGGAAACATTCGAGGCGAAAATAGAAGAAACTGGGAAGGAAAATGTCTAAGGGAAGCCGAAGTTTGAATACCCTTTGATCAATTAAACAAATTATTTATTATTAATTGAATACGATTTTAACAACAAAGCATTTGGCAAACCTTATATACTTTTCTATATTTTCTATATAAGTATATTGTTTCAAAATAAATCGAAAGTAAAAAAAACTGCAATACCATCGAAGGGTATGAAAAGGCCTCATTGAACGCATTTTGCAACTTCTGGAAAATACAATTTTCCCAGCTGCTAACGCCTCTCTAAATTTACAAACAACAAATTTATGCGCTTTTTGGCACTGCCGTAGAGGGGGACCAGGGGGAAGCTGCAGTGATTTCGTTAACAGAAAATTATGGACTCCATCTTGCTCGGGGAGCATTGGCACATTTTGCAAAGTTTTTTGCTCATTACACGGCTTGATTTCATTTAGTTGTGCGAGCGCCTGCTGCCGGGGGAAGCCCCGTCCGTAATTTAGATGAGATAATAAGCTAGGCTAGGCTGTGAAGCCACTGGTCCTGCTGCAGCTGGCTCAAAGGATGTCCGCGTGTCCCCGCCCTGCTGCCCCACCCTGCCGCCTCGTTGGTCATCTTAATTAGGCGCAAAAAAGCAAACTGCAAAATGCAAATGAAAAGGGACCCCGCCGCCGCCGCCGCTTGCTCTCGGGAGGCGTGAGGTGAGGCGGCTAGCTGGCACAGTCAAGGACCCAAAGAGTCCTGTCAAAGGCCAACATTTTGGGTCAAATCAAATTGCAATAAAACGACGACAAGCTTCTCGTTGCCAGTATAATGGTTAACCCATGTGCCAGGTGCAGACTCCTGTCTGGAGAGGGGAGTTTTGTTCAACAAAAACTACTGAGAAATCTGCTCCTGAGTCTATGTCCTACATTTTGAAGTCTTTTGTTAACAGATTTAACAAGAATTCCCTTAATAAAGGTTAGTTTAATAATATTATTTTCTTAATATCTAGTAAATATGTGATCAGGCATATCCTTTATAGAAAAATTCCTATTACAAGCAACGATTTCTATAATTCCTGACTTCAATTTCCATTTCTTGGTCTAAACAACCCTTTCCCGGGCTATGTTGGTACCTTTTCAAGAAGACAAAACCTGGTAACTGTATGTAGAGAGGCGCCAGAGCGGTTTGCTTCCATTTAATCAAAGCTAATTGATACTGCTCGGCGATTGGCGCTAACTTTAACGCTTTCACAGGCAACGGGAAAAAAGTGAGAGGCAGGAAGCTGACATTGGAGTTGAAGTGAACCACCATGGGCCCCAAAACCAATTTTCTAGATAAATTATTTAAGCATTCAGTTAAAAAATAAATCAAAACGAAGGTCCTGAAAGCCTTAAATAAACTAAAACAATGTATGTTTAAATATATAATTTTGGTAAGAAATTAATTTAGTTAAACAAGGAGGGTCTGAGCTAAGAAATTAACTTAAAATTTAATTTAAATTGTATTTAATTTTAATTTAATTCAATTTCCTAAATGGCTTTCGTTGCCAAGGTGCACCTGCAGAACTGGCCACATCGAGGACCCCCCGTGGGTTAAGCTTTGCAACGTTTTGCGCTCCGCTGCCTTTCACTTTTTTCGGAACAAGATTAAAGTGTTGCGGCAAATACAAAATGGCTGCCCTTCCGGTGGGTGTGGGGTGTAGAGTGTGGGTGTGGGTGTGGGGTTGGTGTGGGCGTCAATTCGAATTTCACTTAAAACAATATCAAGCTGGGCTAGGGGGGTCAGTGCTTAGACGGAAAAATGTAAAAAAAAGTTTGCCACAAAGTTGGAAGTTCGATTTGTGGGTTAGGGTTAACCATTCGTGGAATTGGCCCGAAACATATTTTTGAGGGATTATGCTGGGCGAATGGATATTCTTTGTTCTAATGTCAAGTGAATATTCTGTGAAATACACCAAGAGAAATGCAAAACCCTATTTAAAGTGAAGTGTTAAGTAAGTTTGGTTAAAAGATAGCTGTTCCTTAAAAATCCAGTTTGAAGGCTAAGTGCAGATATTCAACTTTCCGTCGGCGATTGTATTTACACAAGTCGTGTGAATGAACTCGGTCGCCGCTCCAGCTCCCGCTCCCGCTCCGGCCCTTTTTTGGCATGCCCGGGCTCATTTATCATCCGAATCCCAGGAGAGTGCTCAAAGCAATGAAATTAAAAGCTGAATTGTTATTTTGCGCTCTGCCTTTTGGGTTCTTTTTTTCCCCCTTTGTGTTTTGTTTTCCCTCCCCTTTTTATTTTGCAAAAAGACCAACGTAGCCAAAGTCCTTTGGCCGGACTGCAATGATTGGCATTTATGGCCCCGAGCAGGAGCGTCTGCAGTCGGAGGCGCACGTGAGTTATGGCGGGAGTCGTCGTCACCGCTTAATTGGCCTTTAATTTCGCGTGGGCGCATTACTTTCCATTAGGATTAGAACCATTAATTAAATTCCGTGGCGCAGGCGCTACCCCCCCAAGCAGCACAAATAAAACTGAAGTGACAGAATATTTACAAGATAATTTGACATTTTCATGCCCCGGCGACATGTGCGCGCGGCCATAAATAACTGCGGCGCAGGATATTAATTCACTTTGCCGAAAGGATTACATGGCTGCTTCTTCGGAGAAAACGACATAAATATCCAAGTGCTCCGCCATATCGCCCCTTCCTATCATTTCCAGTGCGTGTGTGCGTCCCGACAAGGGATATTAAAAAAACATTAAAATCACATTTTTAATAGATTACGAACCGAGGCAGTCAGAGACCGACGAGCTGTTTTGGCGATGCAGCAATAACACAATCAATCAGGAGGCAGCCAAGCCAATTGGCGGCCAACGGGGCGCATACGTAACATGGCATTCCGAGGCACTGCCGAAAGTTTTCCCTACTTGTACCCTCCCAGAAGATAGAAGCTAAACTTAATTGAAATCAATACAAAATGCAATTTAATTCACCCAGCTGCAGTGGAGCACAGTTGTGGACATGAATTGCATACTTACTTCTAGGGGTGGCTTATGATTGTTTCTGGGCAGACGGGGAAGACTTCCAGGAAGTTGTAAAGTTAGTTGCCGCCAGAAGAGCGAGAGGGGGGACGGGAAAACATGAGTGCTGGAAGAGCTCTCAGGCTTAAAGGTTCTCGGGAAAACTCTCCAAGGGGAAATAGTTAACATTAAATACTTTTATATAGTATATTTTTTTATTTCTCCCTTTGGCAGGTGAGCTCTGATTGTTCCTGTTGCTCGGGGAGAGCTCTCCTCGAATCGAAAGCAAAGTCAACCCGAGAAATGCGAGTCCTGCAGGACATGGGCATCCTTCCTTATCCTCCTCCTCCACCTCCACCTCCTCACCTTTCCCTCGGTTGACCGCGACAAACAAAAGGAGACGAGGGACAAAACAAGAAGTAAACTTAGAACACGCGACGCCTTTTGTGTGTTGAGTTTCCCCCTCGGAAAATGAGTGGGCGCCAGGGGGGAGTGGCGTGGCATGGCGCTGACAGTTCAGTTTATTATGTGGAAGCGACCAAAATAGAAGCGGGGGTAGAAGTACACTGAATAGTGTTTAGCTGTCGACTAAAAAAGACATTTTCAAGCTCACTTTGCGGTTAAGCACACAATACCCGAGGACCTCGTGCCGTCCTGCCTGCCCCTCGCAGATGCAGATCCCTCAGATCCGAAACGAAACGAGAGAGAACGCATTTTATGGCATTCAAATCGTAATGATTTTGCGCTTTTCTCATTTTCCTTTCCTAACAATTCCCCCGCAAATGTGCGGCGAAGTTGGCAGAAAATTGCACTCGCTGCACTCGGCCCTCTGTGTGTGCAAGTGTGAGTGCGTGTCATTGGATTTTCATTTGGCGTACGCCTGGAAAATCTGAATGGCAGCCGGGACCAGGACTAGGATACGGGGAATACGGATGAGGCTGAAGATGAGGATGAAGATGAGGATGAGGCTGGAGATGAGGCTGAGGATGAGGTTCTGGATGTGAATGTGAATGGGGATGCGGATGACGATGTCAGCTGCCTGCCTCATCATTGAGTTCGCTGCACACAAAATGCTGGCCCCGACATTCGGCTTACAGGCAACCGGAGGAGGAGTAGGATGAGGCTTGAGTCCCTCTCCAGGGGCTTCCGGGCGTCCTAGGGGGATCGGAATCCACTGATAAACAGATTGTTCCAGCCACTGCTGGCCAGAACGCATCCCCCAGAGACGCTTACGGCGTGTAATGCATATCCAATTAAAATGTTAGGCCTGATGGCTCCAAT